AATATATATATTTTATATATATTTATATATGTATATATGTGTGTGTTTAATACACATGTGTGTGTATTTGACTGTTTCATGCAGCCTATGGGATCTCAGTTCCCCAACCAGGGATTGAACCTGGGCCTTCTGCAGTGGAAGCCTGGAGTTCCAACCACTGGACTGTTAGGGATTTCCCATCCTAAGATATTTAGACCCTAAATATATATCAGGCCAAGGACTGCATTTGAGGACTCTATATATAAAATTAATAGTTTCTAAATACACAGCCTGTCAACTTTACTACAATAAAGTGCCCCTAGAAAAGTTTGAGTTTATTGCACTCTTTTTGGGTCAGGAAGATCCCCCGGAGAAGGATAGGCTACCCACTCCAGTATTCATGGGCTTCCCTGGTGGCCTCAAAAGGTACAGAATCCACCTGCAAGGCAGGAGACCTGTGCTCAATCCTTGGGTTGGGAAGCTCCCCTGGAGGAGGGCATGGCAACCCTCTTCAGTATTCTTGCCTGGAGAATCCCCACGGACAGAGGAGCCTAGCAGACTACAGTCCATGGGGTTGCAAAGAGTCAGACATGGCTGAGCAACTAAGCATAATACAATACAATACAATCAGATATAGTGGTCATCATCAAGGGCAGAACTGAATTGTGGCATCGTTATACTATCAGAATCAAAATCATGAAAAGAAAATGTTTCTAAAATACAGCAATTAGAAATTAGGCTAACTAATTTAGAAACTAATCTAACTGATTAGAAATTAGTTAGAAAATATTCTAACCGTCACATTGTTGGGCCCTGGGGAAGAAAAGGTATTGAATATGAACTGAACTGAATTGAACTTTCCATTCTAACATTTAGGACAACTTTAAGTGTTAATGTAAATCTTAGTTCACTGTATAGCTTTCATGACAGAAGCAGTCAATTCCTCCATTATCCTCTTATAAATCCACTGGCTTGCATATTGTAGGTGAATTATTAAATAACTGACTGAATGAATGTTATGAGTCCACATATGAAAGAATCTCTTGTGTTCATCTGCTGAATTAGATTAAACTCTGTTGTAGCTAAATATCCCCAGTTTACTCAGCTTCCTTCCCTATGCCTCTCCCAATCCATGTAACTTATCTTATTCCTTTTACAAAATTCTAATGTTCTGACTCTTTCCAGAAAGGAAGTGGTATCAAATATTTACATTTTAATATGGAAGTAAGAAAACCCCCATGGTTTTCAGTGATAGTCCTAAACTGTGAAAGTGAAGGAGCTTTCCCAGCTGAAAGGATTTTTCAGCATAAACAGTCAGTGAAGGATAAAGGTACAATAGCAACTGGGGAGAATTCCAGGTGAGAATCAACAGGCTGTTTCTCCTTCCTACTTACATGCTTCCACAGAAGGACATCATTTTTTAAACAACCAATACTACTTATATGCTAAAATTTAGGTTACCATCAATATACAAACACTTACTATTTGACTCCCTTAGATAATATCCTGTCTCAAAGCAGTAAATTGTCAGGGTCTCCCTTCCTCTTTGTTCACATTGATCTCTGAGAGTACTGTTTAATTCTAGATGCTGGCCCACAAAATCAATAACCCCACCAAAGGGTCAGTGTTGTAACCAAAAACACACTTCTAGTTTCTACTCTCAGAGGTAGAATGCCACCTTTGAAATGCATAACAGTTCAAATTGAATCCTTCAATCCACCTTTGTCTCAATTTCCCCCAACCCAATCCTATTGTCTCTCTCTATCTCTGCATAATGTTACCACTATGCCTGAGAATGAAGGCTTCTCTGTCTACCACCTTTAATGTTTATGTAGAGGTGTAACCTCAACCAGATATATCTCCCTCTAGCCTTCCAATATCAGGTTTTCCATAATGCAGGTAATGGTCACTGGAAGGTGTCACATTAGTGAGCTAACACAGCAAGAGCAATTTAAACATTTCCCACTTAGTATCATTTAAAATGGAATAATACTCTGAAGAAATGAACTAAAAGAAAGTTTTGTGGACTAGGGGAAAAGGAGTCAGTGAAGAGCACAAGGAATCTTCAGTGAGAAGATTCAAAAATCCTCACATTATGTTTCAAATATTTTTTAAATATAATTTTAAAGAGTATCATCTGAGTAATATATATAACACATATAAAATATGTTTATTAAATATATATAAATAAATAATAGAGTAGACTTTGACATAGATTTATGAATATAAATGGTAAAAATCCAAAGATTGCTTTAATGAGGGGGTTTCAGTCTGAGTACAAATGTTACTTAACAGTCCATTTGGAGGGCAGTAAACTTGGATCTGAAATCTCAGAAAATTTACTAAAGGGAAATAAATCGTATTTTTCACTGTGTCCACATTTTTGTAACCAAAAGTGTATAAAAGACCTTAAATATTGTCATTCAATTTAATTTAAACTCTATTCATTTTTCACACAGTTCTATTTTTTATGGTCTCATTGCCAGTCAACTTGTATACTTGGAAGGTACCAGAAAGATCAAGAAATAATTTAAGGTTACTGATGCCACAGTCAGCCAGTAAATTGCATCAGCAAAGCACATCTGATGACAGCTTGCCTATTCTTTTTTAAGATGGAAGATACTTAATGCTCTTTAAATGTTTAGGATTGAAATTCCTTTGAGAGAAAACAGCTAAATAAGGAAAAGGCTATAATTAATAGGTCCTAAGTCCTTAGAGCAGGTAGAAGGACCAGCCTTAGATGAAGAGGTGGCAGAGTCAGGCAAGATGTAAAAATACACCAGGGAAGGTGTTCACATCTGGCTGTGTTCTGTGGACAGGATATGAGGTCCCTGAAGAGTCTGTGTGATTTCTCAGATCTGACCACAGGAAATTACAAAGATTTTACTTGGCATTCCTCATAGAGGAAGGCTGTCCTACCACACCAAATTTGATGCATAACAAATACACTATGGTCTCTGAAAGGAGCTGCTGCCTTGGACTCAAGCACCCCTGGCCAGTCAAGAGTTTCATTTCTTTATTTCCTAGCTAGTCCATGTGCCTTCATCCCTAGGTCTATGTCATTTGAGACCTTGGGCAGAGGTCTTGAAGATACTTTGTCCCACTCTGAGTACCCAGTAATTTTCTCCTCCAAGCTCTCCCACCTCAAGCTCCCCTAGACAAAAAACTTCCAGAGCCTTTAGTTCTGTGCTCTGTCAACGAGATGCCCCTCACGCTGTGCTGATCCAGCTGACCCTGAATGGGGGCATGGATGCTGTGTGCTGTTCTGTGTGGGGAAATGGAACAAAGGCAATTGGCATTTTCTCCAGTTTCAGCCTCCTACTTAGACTATAGCAGTAAGTGATAGCGCACTCAACTCCTTAAGCTTTTTGTTTGTTGCTTTCATGGCTCTTAGTCTCAAAACTCAGCTGTGGTCACAGGACTGGAAAAGGTCAGTTTTCATTCCAATCCCAAAGAGAGGCAATGCCAAAGAATGTTCAAACTACTGGATAATTTCACTCAGTTCACATGCTAGCAAGGTGATGCTCAAAATACTTCAAGCTAGGCTTCACCAGCATGTGAACTGAGAACTTCCAAATGTACACGCTGAAATTAGAAAAGGCAGAGGAACCAGAAGGCAGACTACCAACATCTGTGAGATCATAGAAAAAACAAGGGAATTAAAAAAAAAAATCTACTTCTGCTTCATTGACTACACTAAAGCCTTGACTCTGTGGATCACAACAAACTGTGGGAAATTCTTAAAGAGATGGGAATACCAGACCACCTTACCTGTCCTGAGAAATCTGCATGCAGGTCAAGAAGCAATAGTTAGAACCAGACAAGGAACAATGAATTGGTTCAAAATTGGGAAAGGAGTACATCAAGGCTATGCAGTGTCACTCTGTTTATTTAACTTGTGAAATGCCAGACTGGATAAATCACAAACTAGAATTAAGATTTCCAGGAGAAATATCAACAACCACAGATAATATCACACTAATAGCAGAAAGCAAAGAGGAACTAAAGAGTCTCTTGATGAGGGTGAAAGAGGAGAATGACAAATCTGGCTTAA